GCTTAACAGTATCTGGCATTTGCACTGAAATATTCCAAATACTGAAAAATAAAAAATCTGCCATTTTCAGTAATCTCAATTAAACAATGAAAGAACATTTTCCTACACACCCTTTGTGGTACTATTGGCTCTACTGGTATAACCAGAGTCTTGGCTACTTCTTCAGCTGCTTTTCTGGCTTCTTCTGCAGCAATAGCTGCTAATCTTGCAGCTTCTGCTTCAGCCTGTGCAGCAGCAAGAGAAGCTGCTAGCTCTTCTTTCTCCTGTAATGATACATTATCAAATCAAATCAAGTTTATTCTCTATAAAGGTTACAATGTGGGGTTTACATATTTTAGGATATTGTGTGGTTTACATGTTATAAAATACTAATACTTATTACCACAATGGCATTTTTACAAACAGGGCAGCATATAGAAAATACTATCTAATATTTATATCATCCACTGTATAGACAGATTTTTCTTTGCTAATGAGGCTAATCTGAGGATACTGTATACAGTATTATTCTATTATCAATAAAGAGTAACATCTAAGAATACCATTAACAACATTTTAAATTAAAATTATATTTAATATTCCTTCTACAAAGAATTAGACTTAAGGAAATAAAGCTTCTACTTTCAAAGACAATTATAAAATGAATGCCAATGGATGAGAAGCCAAATATTTCCAAGTCAAAGTCAAAGATTTAATGAATACAGTGTAGCTAGAGGGCAGCCACAAGATTCTACAACATGATATACTAACAAATGTAAGACCAAATAATACAAATATTATTAGAATGCACTTACTCTCTTTTGTTTTTCTCTATGCTCTTCAGCAGCTCTCAAATTTTCTACCATCATAATGAAATTGCGATTGATAACTGTAAAACTATTTAACATCTGAGCATTTTGGTAATTCACAACTTCAACCTGGAAAAGAAAAAGACACTCTCCATTTTAATGCAAAGCTACCAGTATTTTAATGCAAGGCTACCTGTATTTTAATGCAAGGCTACCTGCATTTTAATGCAAGGCTACCTGCATTTTAATGCAAGGCTACTTGCATTCTAATGCAAGGCTACCTGCATTCTAATGCAAGGCTACCTGCATTTTAATGCAAGGCTACCTGTATTTTAATGCTAGGCTACCTGTATTTTAATACAAGACTACCTGTATTTTAATGCAAGGCTATCTGTATTTTAATGCAAGGCTACCTGTATTTTAATGCAAAGCTACCTGTATTTTAATGCTAGGCTACCTGTATTTTAATGCAAGGCTACCTGTATTTTAATGCAAGGCTATCTGTATTTTAATGCAAGGCTACCTGTATTTTAATGCAAAGCTACCTGTATTTTAATGCTAGGCTACCTGTATTTTAATGCAAGGCTCCCTGTATTTTAATGCTAGGCTCCCTTTTTTTTATGCAAGACTATCTGTACAGACTATTATAACCAGCAGACAATACACATACTCACATATCCAGTGTCAGTCTTTAACGTCAGAAGTGGCAACACATGAGCTTAAATAATTGTGGTGAATTTAGTCTTATTAGCCACTCTACCATTGTTCAAAAAAAAGAAATTCAAGATTTAATTTAACCTCATCAAATAAGTCTATACCTTATCATTTGTAATTTCAGTGTGTCATTAGTCAAGTTCAGTACAGAAAATGTTTCATACACATACATTAAAATTTCGGGTCTTGTTCTCTCGGGGAAAATTTCCCAAATTCATAACAACGGGGTTACTGTAAATTCTTTAGGGAACTTTAAATGCTTTCAACCCCTTTGGGAAGGAGTGCCGGTAGAATTTTTTTTCCAATATTTGGTTTGGGGCCTTCAAAAAACGGGAAGCAAGTAATTTTTGTCCCCTATACTAAATACACAAGTTTAAGGGAAGTTACTTTAATGTACATTTTTTAGTTAAAGCCCCTTATTTATCCTTTTAAAGGGTTGTCTAAAATTGTTGCATACTATAAAACCTTTCAAAAATTTTTAAGTATTTTAAAAAATTCTGAAAAAAAATTTTAAATTAAAATTTTTTTTTGAAATTGAAAAAAAAAACTCCTGTCTTACATATATGTGAGACATGAAAAAGGTAAATAAAGAAACATGAGACTGAGGGAAGGGCACATAAAAAAAGAAATTTTAATATAAAAACAGTTGTATGCTTTATAATTTATAATTATATTTATATTTATATATAATTATTTTATATATTATATTTTTAAAATTTTATTTATATTTATTTATAAAAATATTTATATATATAAAATATATATTTATATATATAAATATATAAATATATATAGTTTTAATATATTATATTATTAAAATTTTTATAAATATTTAAAATGGGAATTGAAACAGTTACTTTTTTGCTGTTGTTTTACTGTGCTTATGGAAAATTCTAAAAAAATTTTTGGGCAAAGGTTAGTGGAGGGTTTTTTGGGAAGGGTTTTGAAAAAGGTAGAAATTTTGAAAGTGAAAAAAGGGGAAAAGAGTAAGGTGATAGGGTCCCCAAATGATTTAGAAAAAGAAAAATTGGAAAACAAATTGGGGAGGAGGGAAAGGGAAAAAAAGTAATGTTTTCAGTTATTTGGGGAGTTGACGGGCCCCGGCGGATGGATTTAAAAGGGAAAAGGGGGTTAAATTTCATAAAAACTGATGGGGGAAAAAAGGTGAGTGGGGGCTTTGGGAGGTATTGTGGAGTAAAAAAAACGTTATCAATGGAGGCAAAGGGGGGAAATGTATGAAAGAAATTAGTATTTACCAACACTCTTATAGGGGTTTGTGAAGCGGGGGTGGAAAATCCCAGCAGGGAGGAGAGGGTTTGGGGGCAGGGGGAGATGCCCCTGTTTAAGGGCAAGGTGGGGTGAAAAATTATTATGCAAAAAATTTTCGGGGGTGGGGGAAAATTTGGGAAAGAAGGTGTGGAGTTAATAAAAGAAATTATCAGGGGGGCAAAAGGGAAAGGGTTTTTGAGGGGGTTTTGGTCTTTTAGAGGGGAAGGGATAAAAGTAGAATGCATGGAAAGCATAAAAATTTCAATGGGGGAAAGGGAAAGGGGCGGGGTAGGGGCCCCGTCCTCAAAAGGGGTTGGGAGGGGGTTTAAAGGGAGGTTTTGTGGAAAGGGGGCTTGGACTTCCAGAAAGCGGGGGGAGCGTGTTAGATAGGAGTGAAGGGAGACGAAGGGTTTACTTGGGCCCCTGAGATTTTGGGGGGAGTGTGAGCAGGGTAAATTTAGTGAAGGGTTTCGGGGAAAACCGAATTTTTCATTAGCGGACTTGGGGCCCTTTGGGAAAAAGGGGAAAGTACAATGCCTCATTTTAAAGGAGGGGTTTGGGATATTGGAAATTTTTGGGGGGATATGTTGTGTATTTTTATAGTTTTTCTTTAATTTTTGTATTCTGAGCCCTTTTGGAAAAAAACAGTGATTTTTTTGTAAAGTGTGGTGAAAGTGTTGAATGTTTGATGAAAGTATTTTTCTTTTTTGGGGATTTTCTTCTTTTTTGGGGTTAAACCCTCCCTCTGTGGGAGAGGGCCGACTTTTTTGAGAAAAAAAAAAAAAAAAAAAAAATATAATTATAAAATATCTCCTGGGGAAAGTGGAACAAAAATTTTTCCCTTTCCCGTAACCCCATGGGTGTTGTAAGAGGCACAAAAATCCGGGAGAAAGGGGGCTAGTAACCTCTTCTCCTGTATATTTTATTAAATGAAAAAGGAAAAAATTTTCTTTTTTCCCTTTTTGGGCCCCCCTGCCCGGGGGTTAGGGCCGGGTTTTTGAAAAAAAGAAAGAATATTATATATTATATATTATATATATAATATATTATAAAATATATAAAAAATTATATATTATATATATATATATATATATTTTATATTTTATAAAAAATTTTATATGGGGGAAAGGGAAGGCGGGGTAGGGGTCGTCCTCAAAAGGGTTGGGAGAGGGGGGGTTTAAAGGAGGTTTTGTGGGTAAGGGGCGGTTGGACTTCCAGAAAGCTTTTTGTGTGGCGGGTTAGACAGGAGTGAATGGGACGAATGGAAATTTTGGCGACCTGACGATCTTTTGGAGTGTGAGCGGGGTTTAATATTTAGTGAAGGGTTTCGGGGAAAAAACCGGTTATTTTCATATAGTGGGAAAACTTGAGCCCGGAAATGGGAAGTAAAAATGCCTGCATTTTAAAGGGGGGGTTTGGGGATTTTTTGGCATTTTTGGAGGGATATGTTGTGTATTTTTAAAATGGAAATGCTTCTAGACTTTTGTTTTTCTGACCCCTCCCCAAAAACGGGAAAATAATGTGCGAGTGTGGTAAAAATGGGGTTGAATGATGAGAAAGTATTTTTTTTGGGGATTTTCTTTTTTTTTTTTGGGTCCCCCTTGCCTGGGGGGAAAGACGGCCGACTTTTGAAAAAAAAAAAAAAAAAATTTATATAATATATATAAAAAAAATTTTATTTATATTAAAAAATTATATAGATATATAAAAATATAAAAAATTTTTATTTTTTTAAAATTTTTTATATATATATTTTTTTTTTATTTATATTTTTTTTTTTAATATACATAAACTAAAAGGGGTTAATGTTCGGGCAAAAAAAATAAAACTTTAGAAAAAACCCTTTTAACTGAAAATTGCAAGGTTGAAAAACCAAGAAAGGGGTTTTCATCCTTTTAACATCTCTCAATCAAAAAGGTTTACAGGGTAAATTTAAGCAAAACAACTTTACTCTCCTTTTTTTTGTTATTTTTTTATATAAATACCAAAAAATATATTCATTATAAAAACCTTTTTAAGGTGACGGGCCCTTCTTAAATTTTACAGCAAGAGAAGAGATCTTTTGCCCAATTTTTCTTGCTGGGTTTCTTAAACCGGTTTCAGGAAAATGCTCTATGCAGATTTTAAAATTTTTTCTGCTTTTTCCCGGGGTTTTTTGAATGTTTGCTGTTTCACCAGCTACTTCGCCAGAATCTTAGCCTTTTTTACCCAGCCCTTTCTCCCTTTTAATGATAAAGGAATTTAAAGGGAAAAACTTTTAATCATAAATAAACATTACGGTTCCACAGTCAAACATTAGCCAATTTATCAAAATCTAGGAAGTATGATAACTGAAACACGCATGAAAAAAAGATCATTACTACTCTCAGGTTGGGCTTCCCAAAATAAATCTCCCCGGGAAGACCAGGGCCCACCGTTACTGAATTTACAAAAACAATGATAACTGTAGTTACACCCGCAGTAACAAAACCTACAAAGTTACAGAGACTAGTGTTTTTCCCCACTTGACCAAAATCTGGCCAACACCCTTCCCCCTTTTAAAAAACAGGATAATTTCAGAAAAATTCCACAGACCCACTACCCACTTTCCTCAAACAAAATTTGGTAAACACCCCAAGACACTACTAAAGTCACCTTCAAAACTTAAAAATGAGGCAGCCATTAATAAAAACACAAAAAGCATTAGCAAACATTGATTGGGACACTGACTTTGAAAAACTATACAGATATTTTAAAGGAATGTATTAATAATTTTCTAAAAAAGACCCAATCCTCTATAACAAGCCTGGGCCCCAAAAAAAAAAAAAAAAAGATGGGCACAAAGGACTGAAAAGTCCCCGGGTAAAACCCAGCATTCTCAAATCCATAAATACAAAAAACCAATATGAAAAAAAAGTACAGATGGGCACATAACCGGACCAAACCCAAAAAGTTATCGTCAATCCAACCCCTGATAAGAAGGGCAAAAAAATTGTATTTTTGAGAAAATTTTCCCAAAATTTCGAGGGGATATAAAAAGAACCCGGAAAACCCTATCAGAAATTTTTGGGGAAAAAAAAAGGGTATCACGAAATTGCGAAATAAAATTTGCCAAATCGGGTGAACCCCAACTCCCACCCAACCCGGGAAAAAGAAAAAGATCAATGATTTTTTCTCCCTATAGGGCCCAAAAA